AGGGTTTAGGGCTTAGGGGCTTGAGGCTTTTGGGTTTAGGGCTCAGGGAGTTTAAGCCGTTAGGGTTTTGGGTTTAGGGCTTTAGGGCTTATGGAGTTTAGGCTTTTAGGGTTTTACGGTTTTAAGGTTTAGGGTTTAGGGCTTTATGGTTTAGGACAAAATGAAAGGTTTTGGGTTCAGACTTCTATTTAGGAGTTCGAGTCTTGGGGACCTTATCCTGCAGGCGGCCTTCACGGCGTAAGCTCTCTGCAATTGCTCCAGCTTATCGGAGTTCCTGTTCGGATTTCAGAAATCTGCTCCGGGACTAGAACAGTTCTAGTCTCAGGCTGAAACCATGGGCCCCTAGTATTAGCCCTTAAGGGTGGGATCCTTATACACTTACTGTATACGCTACATGTACCCTTAAGGGTCCCTAGAAAGGCCTAAGGGTCCATATTAGGGGCCCATACTTCGAACCTTAGATCTAGACAGGTAACGTGTTATGCAGAATGCGGCAAGTCTTCTACGAGTGAGACTTCAGAAGGGCTCGACGCTGGTTCTACGTTTCAAGACGACAGTAGTGTTCTACAACGGCTCTTCTAACCTCAATATCGCCCTAAACCCTAAACCCTAAACTCTGAATAAACCCTAAACCCTTAACCCAAAACCCTAAACCCCAAACCCAAACCCTAAACGCTTGGCCCTAATGTGGGGCATTAATAACTACAATAGGGTCTTGGGGGCTCCTTATTAGAAGTACAATAAAACACACCCCCAAACCCTATTCTAATTACTCGCGCCCCTATATGGAACCCTAAACCCTAAACAGCCACCCTAAACCCTAAAACCTAAACAGCCACCCTAAACCCTAAACCCTAAACCCAAAACAGCCACCCTAAACCCTAAACTCTAAACCCTAAACCCTAAACAGCCACCCTAAACCCTAAACTCTAAACCCGAAACAGCCCTACATCCCAAAGCCGATCCCCCAAAGCTCCTTGGAGAGATGGGAGCCGAGGTCTTCCGTGCGCTTGGAGATCGCGCTGAGCTTATCCAACTCGCGCTGCAGCGTCTTGCGCCTTAGGGGCTCTGGGGGTTTTGGGTTTGGGGTTGAGGGTTTAGGTTCGGGGAATTTAGGGTTTGGGGTTTGGGGTTTGGGGTATAGGGTTTTGGGTTTAGGGTTTAGGGTTTAGGGTTTGGGGTTTAGGGTTTAGGGTTTTGGGGCTTTGGTTTGGGGCTTAGAAGTTATGGTTTGAGGTTTGGGCTAGTGGTGCCTCGCGACTGTCTCCAAAGGCTTCGATTAAGTACGCCTGGACGATTGGAATAAGGCTTCGAAGGACTATAGCTATAGTAATCAACGCCAAGGAACAACGAATATTATAAACTATTCAGGCCCAAGTACTAGTGTTGCTGGGTATTCGGTGAGTTCTGGTGTTCCTGACTTTCGCACTTCCTTGAAATGCAACGGTGTAGAGATTCGACATTTATGCTCCCCATGACAAGTTTGACGCATAATTCGCGTGTTTAGGTTCCAGGGTTTAGTGTTGTCGCCATAGAAGGCTTATAGGCAAAAACGGCGAGCTGTGCGAAAGCTTGGGTTGGTTTAAGGGTTCCTTATTGTCAAACTCCGGCATTGGAAAGTACTGTACCTCCAAAGTGATCCCACGAACGGCGCAGGGTCTTTACACTTCTATGACTCTATATACTGACATGATGGCGATTCTTTGGCCGCTCTTGAACCCTACACCGTTTCTTGAAGCCTGAACCTTTCTGGCATAACGATGGCAGCGGCCAGTACTCTCTAGGTCTTGACTCCAATCTAACTCCCCTAAACCCTAAACCCTAAACCCTAAACCCTAAACATCCCTTTGCACGAAGTCCTGAAACTTGAACTGCCCACCTCAACCTCTTACCCTTAACCTTAAACCCCAACAGCCCTGAAGGCAGCCTCCGACATTACAGGATGCTGCCAAAAAAGGCCCTCAATATGGGGATTTCCGAAGATAGGAGACCCTAGTATAGTACCCTAAATGGTAGGATCCTCATTATCAGCACCCCAAAATAAGATACCCCGTATTTTCGGAAACTCCCATATCTCGGGCGCGGGCTGTCCGAGGAGTTCTTCCTTGAGCTCGTCTGCCCGAAGGCGCTCCGCCCGCAGAGCCTGGTCAACCCTAAACCCCTAAACCCCTGAACCCCTAAACCCCTAAACCCTAAACCCTAAACCTTAAACCCCTAACC